TAGTGAGTTGGGCAAATAAATGGCAGATGGGTTTTAATTATAATAAATGCAAGATAATGTGGGCAGGCCCATCGACAGTGTGTGGGGGGGGACAACTGCCGAGGGGCCCGGGCGAATGAAACCTGGTTGTGCCGTAAAGCATCTTTAGGCTATATTTTCATTTAATGATAAACCACAGTTTTTGGCTTTTCTTTGCATATAGACGCTTGATATATTAAGAACGACTGAAATAATAATTTGAGAAATAATTAATACGTATTTGTTACTTTATACATTTAACAGATATTTGTTGTTTCTTTATTAATGTTTTTACACTTATACTGTGAGGTAAAGATGGCTGCTGCTATGATTTTATCTGGTTTATGTGCTCGTTGCTGTCCTAATTTATGATCTTCTTTTTAATAAATTCTTGAAAATGTTAAAAAAAAGACTTAATTTTTAATTCAAGTTTTAGTTTAGGGGATATTCTCCTTAAATTATATGTTATGTGTTAAATGGAGAGAATCACAGTTAAATCTATTAAAGGGCATTTATAAGTGATATGAAACCATACTTTTGTTAATGTAACTTTATACTAAGTAACCTTTTTTTACTTAAGATGTGCTTGATGTTACTTAAATGAATTAAATGTTGTCTTTCAGATGGCACTGGTATGTTAGGAAGGATTCTTTTTGCTTGGGTTCATGGGTAAGCAAAACTTTTGTGTATTTACATTGACAAGTATGGTGTATATTAGTAAATAAGAATCATATGATCCACATCCAGTACAAAACATAATTATCATACTTACAATACCTAAACACAGTACTCAAAAATAGTAATTTATAAAATCTAAATTAAAATCATAGAAATAGTAATTACAATATCTAAATGTAGTAATAAAAGTACAGTAATTATAAAACCATTAATAATTGTAATACTTAAGTATTACCATCAGAAAGATAGTAATTACAGTATCTATAGATAGAAATAATGAAATATACTTACATTTACTCAAGGGAAAACTATCAGGAAGATTACATTTCCTCATGAATTGTTTTTTTATTTAATCCATGCACTGTGTTCACTTTCATTGGTCATAACCAAAGGAATACAGATGGACTTTGCATTCCCGATTGGGAAAGCTAACTAAAAGCATGAAGTTCTTCAAGCAAAGGTTAAATTCCTCAGGAATGTAATATTTCAATCCCTAACCTATATGTACTAATCAGTGATTATAAGACTTAAGTTAACATTAAAGAAATAATTATAATACCAAAATATTACCATATATTATATATAATGGCTGGAGACGGCTTGAATGGGTAATGAAGAAAAACTTTAATATAAGTTTAACATAACAGCTGTTAATTTTAAGTTTTTTTCACTATCAGGGAAATTTAGAGAATTTTGAAATTAGTCAGGTAAATTTGACATTTTAGCAAAAAAAAAGAGTAAGATTTGAAATCTTAGGATTATTGTTTTGAAATATGCTGTAAAATACATGGCTGAAGCAGTATTCTTCACCTTTGCCTTAGTTCTTATGTGTCTTGTCAACACTTTCTGTCTTCAATTATGTATCTTAATACAAGAGTCAAAAAACATGTACACTGAGAATAAACCGAAAGGGATTTGTGCCCCTTGCCTCCTGAGCTATTTTCTTTTCAGCTCACTGCACTAGAATGTTGGTGGATATGTTGCTTTATAATTATACTAACCCTAAAAATTGTGTTTATTTTACATTACAAATATTGACCAATAGAAACAATTCATCATTTTTTCTATGAAGTACAAAAACTAATCAGCATATTGTGTGTGATTTCAATTTCAGGCCAATGTTTGTATACTAATGAATTGATGTTTTGACAATTAAATTTTCTTTTCAGGGCAAAGAATACTCAGAACAGTAGATACCTATTGATTTTATAACTGAGAAAATAGTAAGAAATGGGTAGCAAATAAACAAAACTGGTCGAGTGACTGAATTTTCTTCATATCACAGTGCATATTTCATGGGAACAATTTTAGCTAGGAAATATGGATAAAAGGGCACGTGAGTTATGCACAAGCAAAAAAGCATAAGACCGAAGTACACTTAAATGTTATAGTTAAACAAGATGTTCATCCCTTAACTGCTTTCTGGAATAAGCAAGTGCCATCAACCAACCAAGGTGATATGAAGGTTGAGAAAGATCAGTTGGTTATATACTGTTTTGTATCGTATATACTATGGTTTGTATGATACAAATTTAGAAAGTATACTGTGGTTTATATGGTATAAATGTTAGAAAGTATAGTATGTTTTTGTATGTTGTGTATGGTATATATATGTAGAGAGCACAGTGTGTCCTGTAGGGTATACATTTGGAAAGTATTTAACAGTTTTCTTCAACCTTCCTATATCTGATTTTCATTTTGGGTATTCTCTTTTTGCTGTACTTGACTCGTTGTAGCTCTCATCATCCAGTAGGATAACTGGTGAGAGCTGATTGGTGGTAAAAAATTGTTGAAACATCATTTTATTTATTACATAATTATGTACTTTTCATGGCACATTGTGTTTTTCAGGATGTAGTTAAAGATTGTGTGTTGTAGTTTTTTTATGTGTAGGTTATACATGACCAAATTTAATATATATATATATATTTCCATGTAGGTCTGGTTTGGACTGTGATTGCAAAAAGTGGAGGTAAGTTAATATAAATTTTATTTAAACTTCTCTAGTGGGTTTTTTTTTAATTTCATTAATCAATCAGATTTTTACTCAGTTTTTAACTAGAGCATAAAAAAATCTGCTTTTGTTCACAATATTTAGGACATTAGGTAGCAGTACACATTATGTAAGTGTTATTGTCAATTAATATGATTCCCTTGGTGGATAGAGCACGGATAACCCACTGTGTTGGTTTGTGTTAAAAATCAAATGAAATGATGTGTTGATACCTAATGCTTGATCACATAGTTTCTATTTTCACATTTCTCCTAGTTAGTTTATTATGAAGCTCAAAATAAATTCCATCTAGTTAGTACATTATGGAACTTAGGATGTATCACAGACCACAGACATTTCAAACATGTGGCATTATAACAATAGTATCTTTTAAAGTATAAGTTTGTTTTAGTCAATTTATGATTTATAATACTTACTACAAAACACAGCTGGTTTGTACACCAATACTCGTGATCCACGTAACAGTTAACCTAAAAGCCATTTTTATACATATGTTATATTAAGCCTAACAACATCATATGTTAGGCCACATTTAAAAAAAAATAGTGCAATAAAATATTATCTAAAGCTTTAAAGCTAATATAAGTATACTGTATTTATCTTACTATATTTTATTCATAAACTTATCTTTGTCCTCCTTTTATTAGTTTATGTAACGTGGACTGAAAGAAAAGCATTACATCTTCAACTCCATCCAAGTGTGAAATGTAATTCTGAGGTGTATGTGATAGCCTCGCATTACAAATCTCACGAGTTCTTTTTAATCAGAAAATTAATTCCCAAAGCAGCTTCAGTTGAAAAGATAAACATGGGGGAAGTTCATTGCAAATAATATAAAGCCATTAGTAATGCAGTAAGAAATTTTACAATCTCGTGACACTACATAAGGGAGAAAGGTAGATCTGTGGCAAATAGATTGCAAGAAAGAAAATAATCCCAGTTTTCATAAATTATAATTATGATTTTATTATCTGCAAAAACTTGAAAATTGTAAGACAAAACATGCCAATAGTTGAATTTTACATTTGAAATCACCAACGTAAAAAATTCACTGTTTTCCAAATATTTTAGCTAAACAGAAGTCTCCAGTGAAAGAAAAGGCTACATATTTGTGGCTTAGGTTTGACCACTGATGTACCTCAATGGCACAGCAGTATGTCTGCAGACTTACAATGCTAGAAACTGGATTTTATTACTCATGGTGGGCACAGCATAGATAGGCAGTTGTGTAGCTTTGTGCTTAACTACAAACAAACAGACTTTCCACTGATAAACTATATTTGCACAAATGGGAAATTTAATGATTTCTACCCTCTGAATGGTAATTACAACAGAGGGCAAAAATGTAAAATTAGAGCTTGCACTTTCTATTTTTTAATTGTTTTCATCCAAAACAAATGTTAATACAACTTATATCAAAATAAAATTCTAAATCTCAATGTTTAAGCTATAGTTTTATTTTGGAGGTAATTTGAGAGGATATATCTCTCAATTTTTCAAAACTAGATGTCATTTTGCCCCTGTACATACCTGAGGTACTGGGCTGGAAATGGTTAAAATGGATCTCTTCTAGTTATTCCACCATGGGGCTTAAAATGGATCCCTCTTTCTAAGTCCAATAGGGTCAAATTGACCATCCATGTATAGAGTTAGGGTAGAGAAAATAACAGATAAATTATAAAGTTTTACTGAAAATGAAAACAAAAATTTTAAATGTATTTAGGAGTTTTTAGATATTACACAAATGAAATTTGAGATTTTTAAGATGAAGAAAGGTATTTTTAATCTTCACATGAAAATCACTTTGCACACAGACTAATAAAAAAATATATATTCGACATATTCATGGACAAATCTTTTTTTTAGTTTATTAAAAATACTTCACTAAAAATATGATTTTTTTGTATGTGACTTATAATGTTTACTAAAAGTGTGCCAAATTTTGTGAAGATATACTTACTATATTAAAAGTTAGTAGTATCAAAACTATAAAGACTTTAAATGAGTACAAAGAGATCAAGAGCCCGCGAGGAGAGAATTAAGAACAAATAAAAAACAAAGTACCAGAACTGGAATTAAAATGAACATGTGGTGTTTTATGTCTTGCTAAAAATTCATCATCAGATTTATAAGTGCCCCTGGTGGCTTGGTCCATAGAATGTTGTTGGATAGGAAATAGCCAGTAGTTTTAGTTAATTAGGACCTTTTCAGATTAATATCTAAATTGTCCAATAACTGCTTGCCTTAAAGATTGTTTTTGATCTTTTCAAAACTTAAAATTTTATGTAAATCTATGTAATTTTAGGTTGTTTGCTGATGTGTTGAATGATGCAGCAATATTCCTAGATCTCGTATCCCAGTATTTTCACAATTACTTCACATTTATCATGTGTGTGTCGTCTGTAAGTAAGGTAAGATAGGTGTTTGTATATGACAACTATTGTAATAATGTTGGTCATTGTAATTCTGTTCATTGATTTATATTCGTTATTATGTTTCTATTCATTAAAACTTGTTAATTTCTTAACATAAAATATACCTAAACCAATGTAAAAGAATTTAGTTTTCTAAATAACCTCTAGAGGAAGCTGTCAGCAAAACTTCTGAGATAGTTAAAACTCAAAGTACCTTTTGATATTTTTGATAGTTATATAGCTTTTCTATTGTTCTGAAAAACATTTTCTAAAAGCTTGCATAGTTATATAATATCAAGTAATTGTTTAATTTCTTACTAGAGGGCACTGTATATCAGTACTAACATTCGTAGCAATAAGCATAATTTATCACTAGAGTACGCTGGATATCAGTACTGACATTCATAGCAGTAAGCATAATTTATCATTAGAGAGTGCTAGCAGTTACAAAGTTCTTTTCATACAGTTCACTATCACCAAGGATCCACAAATTGAATCCTGTTAATTTTATGATTTAGGCCTATTACAACATTCATTCTAAAGAGCTGACCAAAAATATTGGGTTATATCACTCAAGTTTTTATATCAAACGTATAAGGAACTCCTTTAGTAACTACAGTATGATATTGAAAGTCATGGACCCACAAATAAAATGCCAATGATGTTCATATGGACCCCATCTCTAATTCTATGGATTAAAAAACAAAAGTTTTAGAATTAGCTACATATTAGCTCAGTTTAATAATTGTTTTAAAATGGCTAACCACATACAGATATCTTAGCCAACAAATTCTTGATATTGTTAAAAATTAAAGGAAAATATAAGTTTAATTTTTAAAAAATAAATGAATAGTCTGTCTTATTTTACACCCTTTTTGTAGTTCAGATCTGTTTTCACCACTGGTAATACCAAGACCCCAATCTCTACAGGTCTTCCTGTGGTCACGGGTCAAAGGCCGTGTCATAGTGTTTGTAGACACTCATTCAAAATTCTGTTTAACTACTATTTTATGAATGTATGTGAATAAGTATAGTATCAAATTATAATATTATACATTGGTTAATTTCTTAATTTAAAAGTAAATATTTAAAAAATTCCTAAATATCAATTTTTGTGTTCCATGTGGGTATGTTGAATATAGCATTTGTTCAAATTAGATGTTTGTGATGTCCAAATACAAAGTCTATAGTTTCTTATGAATTAGGAACTCAAATTACCAATATTGACAAGCTAGAATATAAAATAAGAACCTCTCATCTTTTCTATTTGCTGAGATATCGCTACATTTACTGAATCAAACATGGTGCCCTGCCAACTTCTGTCCATTTTGGAAAGACTTGACTATTTCTGTCTATGACGTGAATAGCCAATCGAAAGCTCAGAATGTCCCCCTAGTGGCTTTCTGAGCCTTTTTTCAAATATGCGGATGGCAAACTCATTCTTTTGTTGCTAGACTTCAAACGGTAAGGTAAGGTGAGCTCGAAATTACATATATTTTAGACCCAAATACAGCTTAGTTACTAAGCTTGGTAAATTATAGTGGAATTCTGTGGTATTGATATAGTAATGTATGATTTTTGGTTATTTTAAAATATATATACATATATAAAACTTCAAAAAGTTATTTCGTTTCACATCCTCCACATGCAAAATTTCATAAGGCTTAGCAACCTATGGCTAGCAGCATATATAAAACGTAAAAAAGTAATTTCGTTTCACATCCTCCACGTGCAAAATTTCATAAGGCTTAGCAACCTATGACTAGCAGCATATATAAAACTTAAAAAAGTTATTTCGTTTCACATCCTCCACGTGCAAAATTTCATAAGGCTTAGCAACCTATGGCTAGCAGCAAACAAGTTTATAGTTCGTAACTAGAAGAGATAGTTGTCTGCTTTACTTTTTTATGTGTTAATAAAAATAACTGAATTTTAAGAACTTATTTTGAATATTAATAATGTATGTACATATATAATGTACTAAAACTGAAATGTGACTGTATTTAACAAAATATTAGTCCACTAAGACACAGCCAAGACAGGTCACTTTGTAAAGGCCAGTTTTATATTTTTGGATACACTAACATGAGTGCACGTGAGTAATCAAAATTACTTTGCATGTTGGATAATCAACATTCTGAAATAAAAAATTGTATGGGAAAATCTTTAGTTAAAAAAACCTGATATTTTGTGTACAAAAGTCTTGTAACTTTTACCAATAACCTATAAAATTTTGTAATGATATGCATATATTATTAAAAAGTATAATTACTCTCCTGGATACTTTTGTGGTTAGGAGCTAGGTGTATCCCACCCAGCCCATAATGGAAGGGTTAACTAAAAAGATATGGAATAGTAATGACACTATGTTTCAGAACTTGTAGTTATGAAAATGGGAATTAATTTACCCTCTCTAACTTTTACAGTCTGTTGTTGGCATAGCAGGAGGAGCTACTAGAGCAGCATTAACACAACATCAAGCTCGGAGGAACAACATGGCTGATGTTTCTGCTAAAGATAACAGCCAAGAGACACTAGTTAACCTCAGTGCGCTTATCTGCAGCCTACTGATCTTACCTGTTGTGTCAGGAAATGATAGGTGATGTACTTTCTTGTATTTGAGCTCCTCTCACTACATGATTTACCTGCTAATTTTGCCATATCTAGTGCATTGTCTTGTACTCAATCTTCTCTTGTAGTGGTGTTAGGAAGGTTAAGTGGAATTATTTAGAAGCTACATGTACTAACAAGATGATGTGCTAATATCTAGTGTATAGTCTTGTACTTGATCTTCTCTTGCAGTGGTGTTAGGAGCGTTAAATGGAATTATTTAGAAGGTACATGTACTAACAAGATGATGTGCTATTATTTGAAATGGTGATGTTGGTTGGACTTTCATGTGGATATGTATTAAATTATTAATGTATAACCTCTACATCATACCAATGTTGTTGGTCTTTCCTGGATATATATATATGTATATATATCAAACTAATAAGTATAACTTTTACATCATACCAGTGTTGTTGGTGGTCTTTTTTGGATATATATATATATGTATATATATATCAAACTAATAATATATAACTTTTACATCATACCAGTGTAGTTGGTCTTTCCTGGATATATATATATATATATATATCAAACTAATAATGTATAACTTTTACATCATACCAGTGTAGTTGGTACATGATCTTTTCTGTTTTAATGGTTTACACATCTGGAGTGTATTGGCTTTTGTATAGGACTTTTTTGCTGAAATTTCTTAATTCACTTAGCAAAACAATATTCTGTTAATAACATTGCTAGTTTGACCCGCAAATTATTACTGTTGTTGAGTGATCGTCATAAGATTACGAGTTTGAAACAAATTCATTGTCATGATGTAACGTTACAGTTTGAAAATATATTTTTCAACATATTACCTATCTAATAAAAGAATAAATTTGTTTACACTGAAGATAAGCTTAATCCTTTTAGAATATAAAATTGTGATAAGTAATGAATTTGTTTCAAAGTGTGTACAATAATAGTGCACTAAATATTGTTGAATATTATATTTTATAACAGTGTTTTGACAAATCATCGAAATTAAGTGAATTGGACTAATATCAATGAAATAAATTTTTCCATGTTATGAAATAAGAATACAGAATTTAAAATGGAAAATGTTTTATAATTACATGAAAGAAGGAAACATCAGAAGATATTCTCCTTCTAGTATAGTTGTCACTTTAAATGCAAGTTCATACTGAAATTTTAAATATTTTGATATGTGAGAGAAATTAATTTTAAAAAATTTGTGTAAAATCCTTATATGTATATTAGCATTTTAAGAGGAATTCATATAACCTAAAACTTCAGGTATAGCTTATAAAATAAATTAAGAAATACTTTTTATTGGAAGAAGATGGACAAAACATAAGATTCCATACACTTCGTGGTTACAGTATTTGTTTTTGTTTTAATGCAGCCTAATTTGGACATTATTTCTACTTTTTACTACCATCCACCTGTATGCCAACTACTGTGCTGTTACTGCTGTTGTTATGGAAACCTTCAACATCACTCGTTATCAGGTTGTTGTGTCACATTACTTGAAAACAGGGGAGTTGTTATCTGTACCAAAAGCTAACAGCTGCGAAAGTGTGTGGCTCCAAGCATGGCCAGAAAAAGTCAAAATATTCCTTGGTTCATCTTTGAAAGTTGCTGTAGTGAGGTATGGTATCTTTGAAAGTTTCTATACTGAAGTATGTTACTTTAAAAAGTTGCTGTAGTGAGATATGTTACCTATGAAAGTTTCTATGCTGAAGTACGTTATCTTCAAAAGTCATTGTAGTGAGGTATATTATCTATGGAAGTTGCTATAATAAAGTACAGAGAACCTCGTCATTAAGGGCACCCTTCTGTCTGCATCCAAATGCCCTCTATAGCAAGGTGCCCTTAATATAAAAAATAAGTCATGCAAAGCTGGATTCCATAATGACTGTACTAAACTTCTGGATTTTATTCCCCCTCCCCCACCTCATTTTGTTTGGTGTATGCAGGACACAGGTGTTTACGAGTTGCACATTGTAATGACATGTAGCATTGTCAAGAGCTGGTCTCAGAGGGTGGATTAGTTATGCCCTTTTTTCTTTATTATTGGTCACGAAGTACTTCTCTTCAGAGTTTGAACTGCTAAACATTTCACATTTATTTTACTGTCAACAACTGAAGTAGAAATCTGCTGAAAATAAAACAACAAATCACTGTTTACGTAACACCGAAAGCATGTGGTCAGAAATAAGCTGGTTTGACCCCCTGCTCTGAGAATAAGATGTGGAATTTATCAGCTTATGTATCCTACAATGATAATTCCCCAGAGTAAAAAGATTGCATTTTAAATCTGTAAAAACTTTTATTACGGTATATGTTTGGAGCCGATCCAATAAACATTGCAAGTGTTTCAATATTGGTCATCTTTCTGGGATGTTTGAAATTTAGAGGTGTACCATACAAGCATACAAAGATAACTGCCTGCTTTATTGAGTGCCCTTAATGGTGCTATGCCCATTATTTCAAGGTTCTACTGGGTGTTATCTTCAAAAGTCACTGTAGTCAGGCATATTGTCTTTGAAATTTGCTGGAATAAGATATTGTTGACAGTTAAACTTGTGATCTATTAAACAATTTCAGAGGATAATAATTTTATTAATTAAAGAGTGAAGGTTTTTTTTAGGAAATGTAAGAATACACTTGAGTAATTTAAAACCATTTTTTATGTTGATATAAATATATTACTATTAAATTAATCTATCATTTTAGTGATTAACCTATGTAGTTAACAGTATTGTTGTTTTTTGAACTTTTAATTAAGCCCTCAAGAACTGGTTCTTTTAAAGAAAATTTATCAGAATGCCTCTTATTTGTTGACCTTGAAAGAAAGAAGAAATGGCAAAGGTAACATCAGATCCTATGTACTAGCTCACAAACTATTAATTATATTATGATAAAACAAAAAACAAACAAACAATATTTGTAATTAAAACAGAAATATAAAAATGCACAAGTGGAATAGTTAAAATAGGTTTAACTATTTACTGGCCTTTTCACTCTTCTCTTTCAAATGCAATCTTATTCTCTGGCTACTAAATAGAGCCTACAAACTTACCTCATCCTATTTAGCCCTTCACAAAGAAATACTTCCATACAAAACATTCTCTTTCAAAACTGCTACCCTATGCATTTCTTGGAGAAAATAACTTCCTCATTCCTAACTAATTTGTTTGTCAAACCACCAAAGATACCCACTGTACCCAAACTTCCGTTAAACACCTGCTTACCATATCTCGGGAGACAGGGCTCCCTTATCACGAAACAGTTGAAAAAGTTATATAACATTTACTGTCCCAACATTGACCTGAAAATCATTGTGAAACCTAACTTTAAACTGAAAATTTTTTTATGATACATAGATCGTTTGCTGACTGCCCATTTCTCACACCTCATCTACTTGTACACGTGCAGAGACTGTAAGGCTTACTATATTGGTGAAACCAAATGTCACCTTAAAGTACAAGCATGTGAACACATAGGCATATCTATAAAAACTGAAAGTAAGGTTACAAATCTTTCCAATTCCACTATCTATCAACACAGTGCAGAAATAGGACATCCGATTTCTCTCAAACATTCAAATTCTTTCAACAGCCAAACACAGTATTGAACTTCTTATAAAAGAAAACTCTTCTCTCATTCCTAAATAACACACAGTCTTCACTGGATTTAAAACTATTTTAACTATTTCATGATGGAATTATGACGATTCTGAAATGTCTAATAAATGCTTCCTATTGTGGCACACGTTTTGTTTTATCATTAAGCTAAGTTTTCCGAAAAATGAGTTGATTACTATTATATTTATTTATTTAAAGGAAAATTATGTTTAGGTGTTGATTTTAATAGCCTATCTAGCTATAAATCAGTTTATTAAAATATGCTACATCAATATATAAAAAATTTACTTGCAAAAGTTCAAGATGTTTAACCTGTCTGGCAGCCATGGAGTTTCAGGATGTAGCACTGTGTAACTGTGTAAGGTAGATAATATAATTTACTTATTAACTTGTGGACTTAAATATGTAGAACAAAAAACTAATCCTTTTCATCTAAGGATTAACCTACATAGATTGCAAAGTAATAAGGGTTTTCCTCATTTGATAGAAATAAATCATTTTAATAAATATCCATTTAATAATGTAAAAATTGCTATACAAATTTCTTAACAAAAAGAGAAGAATATCATATTCTGAAAGAAAAAACTCTTTACCCTTATGGATTAAATCAGGACTTTCAAAATGAAACTGCTGAAATTATAAGTAAATATTCCTGTATCAGAAATTTATTTCAAATAAATATTTGTAGAAATAAAATAAAAATAGAAAGAAATGGATTGATTTTGTTAATCTGGTGAAATTTATAATAAAACATATTTGAATTAACAAATGCAAAACTCAAATATCTGTCAAACTTTGAGTTTGAAAATACCCATGTTAAAGACTTAATTACAGATCTAATTAAACTTAGGTTAAAATGGAATCGTATATCTATGCTTCCTTCAGTGAAGAAAAAAAAAAAAGAGAAATTTTATGATGATTTATATTTACTTTCCCTGTTCCATAAAAGTATTCAAGAAGATATTTTCCCCATAAAATCGTTTCAACTAAGGGTCAGTTTTAAATATAATAAACCTATGGGTCCTCTTCTCTTTAACTATAAAAAAAATCATTTAAGAATTTAATCAAATAGAATTTGACAACTTACCTTGTAACTGTAATAATAGTGTTTTTAAAGATATCTTTCACAATCTTATATGTACAGGAATTTAGAAGTTGTCAAAGAGAAATAATTACAATCAGTATTAAAGAAAGGTCATTATATCGAATTTTAAAACACACAAAAAGTATGAAATCTTAAAAGACTTAGAAAAACATTTTGATGATTATATTCTTAAAATAAATAAACAATCCTATTATATTTTATTAATTCCATAAAGAATCAATTAAGAACCTTAAACTTATCTCAATATAAATTAGATATTTATTTCAATTTCTTTAAAAATAAAATAAATTAAAAAACAATTTATTATTACCCCGACTGTTAAAGCTGGATGTAATTTTGGTTTATTTGTAAAAAAATATGCAAAAATTTTTCTTTGTGAAATTAATACAAGAAGTACTTTAAAGAAAAATAACGTTATTACTAATTTAAAGAAAGCTATTAAAAATGGAATATCCATACAGGTTATTCTTCTACGAATTTACCATTTTTATATGCAATTCCAAAATTGCATAAAAATCCTGTGAAGTTCAGATTTATTACTAATTCTTTAAATACAGTCACTAAATCTGTTTCCATAGTACTTAACAATATTCTAGATGTCTTGTTTGAAAAAATAAAAAACAGTCTACAAATAACCAGAATAATTATTTTTGAATTATTAAAAATAACATTCCAGTTTTGGAATGTTTAAATAATTTAAATTCTTCAAAAACTGCCAGTCCTATATTTACATATGATTTTACTACATTGTATACTAAAATATACCTAAGATATTTAATCAGAGTTTCAATAATTTGTTTGATAACTTTATAAATAATGAAGTAACTATACCCAAATTTAAGTTTACTAAAATTTGGTGTAAAAATATACTCCATTTCTCTATTTATAAGTTATATTGCATTTATAACAAGTATATAAGGAAACATGGGGTATTCCATTGGGAACGAATTTCTCTTAAAATATGGTCAACCTGTATCTGTTCATTTATGAAGCAGACTTTAAATCCTAACTTATACATTTACACTATCCATTACATGGGTGAGTTAATATTGCTAAATAATATGAATTTTACATCAAATTTAATATATCCAACAGAACTTACAATAGAAAGAAGTAACAACAGTAATAATAATGAGGTCCATGCTAATTATATAGATTTGGACATTACTTTTATAGAAGGTACAGTGCAGTCGACTATTTTTGATAAAAGAAGATAATTTAATTATCCAATTCTTGATCTATCCACACCCAATAGTCTTATTCTGTGTATCATGTTAAAAGGTAATATTATATCTCAACTAAAATGGTTCTTAATAGTATGTAATAACTAATTTTTTTATGGATAATGTTCTATTATTACAAAATAAACTGAAAGATAATGGCTATAAAGACAGGCAATTGAAGAAATGCCTTACTTTATTTTCTAATAAATACAAAAAATATGTTATAAACTAAACTATCGATTAAGGAAAATATCTTATAAAAAAATAAAATAAAGGGGGGAGTTAGTTTGTTTGGAAATAAGCACAAAGCTACACAATGGGCTATCTATGCTCTGCCCACCACGGGTATTGAAACCCGGTTTTTTGAGTTCGCAGACATACCGCTGTGCCACTGGGGGGCGGGAGTTAGTTACTTTAGCTTTTAAGTAACTAATAGCAATTTGTCAAGTAGTTTTATTCAGTATAACTGGGACAGAAAGACTAACCTCAAGTAGCTGGGCTTGTCTCAGCATTCCCATGTTATACTTGAATAAATCTTCAGGAGAAAGGGAGGAGGTTGGGAGTAAGAACTTTTAAGGTAGGGTGTAAAGTTCTATTTAATATCTTTTTGTAAGGGTGGAAGTTAGGAGTTTCATTAGTAGAAATATTAAGGTGGCTTCATTTTAATTCATTTCTACTTTAAGAAATTTAAGTGTAACTGCCTTTCCACAACTGGCTATAGGCAATGAAAGGCAGTAGAAGCTGAGACGGGGCAGGTGTAAGCACTTGGCTTCGTATCCTTATTTGATTGATTTTTTATGATTTTTCCATGATGGCTGACTAGATTGACTTTGGCATTTGGATTTTGTCTGATAGATGGGATATCCCCAATGCATTTGGGTGCTATTACCACAGACATTATTCATTATGACAATAAGTTGACAACCTGGACCGATAAGGGTAATGCAATATTTTATTCATTATTGTTTTATAGGGATGATTTAATTGCCTATAAACAATTAATGTAATCAATAGTTTGTGAGCTATTTAATTATATAGATAGATATATCACCAGGAAAGCATCCAGTGGTCTTACAGAAACACCACACAGTGAGCAGTAAAGTATACAAATATAGTGCTAGGATATAAAAGTCAGCATACCTGACCATGCAACACCCGCCACTAGGTGGGATTCTGAAATAAGATGAATAAGCAATGATAAAAGTGAAAATAAAATAATATGATGACTTACCTCAGTCACAGGTGAACAGATATGTGTAGAATTGCCACAGGAGGAAGACAATATCTGTCCGAGGAAGAAACAGAAAAGTTGTGCAGAGAAGGAGTGACGAAAGTATAGGGAGTTGTCCACATACCAGCCTGAATGATTTCCTCCAAATGACAGATTTAGATGGTGAATTAGGTGTGAAGAAACAATATGTAGATGGCAACCGGCCAGCGATACATCCATATACACCAGGTGTAGGAGTTGACAAACCCAACCCGTGAGCATAATAGGAGAACGAGTAGGGGGAAACTGGAATGCCATGGAACAATGAGACAAGTACAAGCCAAACAACAAAACAGGGAATGAACTGGACAAAGGAGATGATCTGGGAAGGAATGGTGAATTTGGATAACAGAAAACATATGAGGAATGGTAAAGGATGGCATAAAAATCATAACAACAAAGACCACATTGCCAGTAGTAAACAGGACAGAAGAACCAGCAGAGTACAACAAGGTTTGGTCTGGATAAGGGAAAAGACCCAGAAGATCAGTCAAATCAGAAGTTAGGCATATAAAAGAGACCCAATCTTGACTGAAAGCATCATATCTCCCCAGCTAAAGGGTGGGGAACTTAAGACTAAAAGGAATAAAGTGTGGCATACCAGTGAATGGGAAACACATACAAGTATGCAGGGAATGAACTGGACAAAGGAGATGATCCGAAAACGAATGGAAGGAATGGTGAATTCTGATAACAAAAAACATACGAGGAATGGTAAAGGATGGCATAAAAATCAGAACAACAAAGACTGCATTGCCAGGAGTAAACAGAACAGAAGAAACAGCAGAGTACAACAAGGTTTGGTCTGGATGATAGCAAAAAAAAAACCAGAAGATGAGTCAAATCAGAAGTTAGGCATATATAAGAAGACCCCTCTGATCTTGACTGAAAGCATCTGTCTCTCCAAATGAAGGGTGAGGAACTGAAGACTATAAGGAAGAAAGTGTGGGATACTAGTGAATGGGAAACACGTACAAATATCCAGCGTTCCCAGTTGAGAACACACTCACAGAAAAACATGAGAATGAAGAGACCACTCTGAGGAGAACCTGGTGGGGAGGCAATAAGAGATCAGCCACAAGAATCAGAACTTGGGGAACATGGCTCACCAGAATAGTCACGTCAAGGTCATTGGCCCAGTACATGAAATCCAGGGTCTGACAAGACACAGATCGGTACGTGGTTCCTCCCTTCTCGGTGATAAAGCGGATGATAGTGAAATTGCAGAAAGAACCCAAATCATTCTCTCCTGCCAGAAAGGATACAGAGTCCAATAAACTGCCAAGATATCAGGATGTGGTTATGGAGAGTGGCCTCAGCTGACCACCTACCCCAAAACTCAGGGGAATCGAGGACAATGGGATGGTCCAAGTGATCGTGAGGGAAGTTCTACTGGTTGAGTTGTGTCCTACCCAAGGGAATAAGCACTTCCAAGGAAGGCCACATTCCAAAAGAGAGAGAACTCGATATCCTGGAGCCAAAGAGGAGGAGGTTGGGCTCAACCAAAAAAAGTAATACAACCCCCAAATGCATAATATAATGTGAGTGGTAGTAAAGGACTTCTCCAACCAGAAA